GTCAGTGCCAGGACCGGGGACCCGGCAGTGTTCCTCAGGTCCTCTGCGGCTACCGCCTGCCCTTTTGCTGTCCCGTGGGCTCAGGCTGGGGTCATGCGTGCCAGAATGCGGTGCCCAGCATCTCCTCAGACCTGGGGCAGCCAGGCTCTCCACTTTCTGGGTCCCTCCATCCTTCTCTGGCGACCAGGGACCTCTGCGGCCAGGCAGGGAGCACGGACGTCCCCGCCTGCACGTCTCCAGCGCTCTGAGCAATTCACACCTCGGCCAGCGTGAGTCAGCAGCCGGAGATCCGAACCACCACGGACGTCTACACGCTCGTCCATGCTGGGCGTGCGTGCGAAATCACTCAAGTGCTTCCTGTTTCAAGGAGGAAGAGAAATACTCTCAAAGGGAAGCCCTTCTTGAATGAAGGTCATTAAGATGGTTAAGTCCATTAAAAATGAATGTGTGTTACTTGAAATGCCATCAGTGGTCTTTGTCCAGCTTGAAAACAGAAGGACAATTTCTACTGAATTTCTCCACAGATGTATCTGTTGTGTTTATCATTGAATTAGTCAAAAACAGGTAAGTCAGGCCAATATGTGCCGTATAGTTATGAAAACACACATACGTGGGACATTAATCTGCTTGCTGTTTAATTTTAAGTATAAAAAGTTATAATTATTCTTGATTGAAAAATAGTTATGATTCACTTTTGAATTTGACTATATATGTATCTGTATCTATATCTATCTATATACATATCTATATATGGTCAAAATTAGTATCCAACATCTGCTTTTCTTTTATCAAATCCTCAAAAGTCATCCTCACTTTTTAAAATTTGTTAATGGTGTTGAAATTACTAAAGTGGCAAAAGAATCCTTCAGGAAACAAATAACAAAGACACCTGTTAACTTAAACCTACACATGCTGCAAAGTGAACACAGTGACCTGTGTTTTCAGATGGGGAGGGACAGAGTGGACAGCTCCCATGATGGACAGATTTGCAACGCGTCCTAGTGTCATGTAATTGAAGAGCCTTAGATGTCTGACCTTTCCATTACTAGCCCAGGAAGTGAAGAGTCAGAAAAAATGAAGAAAGAAGTTGAAGGAAGTAACCGTCTGCAGGGCGAGCCAGGTGCTGACCTTGGACTGGAGACCCTGACGCGCAGCACAGTCTGACGGAGCTGAAGCTTCTTCCCGCACTGACCTCACCAGAGACGGGACATCAGAGCAGGGCTGGGAAAGCATTCGCACGTGTGTCCCGGGATGCGCGTCCGGACAGCTGTCCCCCTGGGGTCACGCCTGGTGTGCCCCCACCTCTGGTGTCCTCTCTTCTGTGTGCATGTCTGGTTCTTGAAGTAGTTTCCCTCCTCGTCCCCGCCTGTGCCCGTGGTCTGCTTTCTGTGGCACATCTCGCCCTGCATCCGACCGCTCCCGAGGGCTTACGGCCCCTCTAACTTTCTAGCTGCAGAGTCTCCGCTTGGGGTTTTCTATTCTGACAGCACTCTGCTTTTTGACCCATTTTCTTTTTTCTTTTTCTTTCTTTATTTTTTATTATGTTACGTTAGTCACCATACCATACTTTGTCAGTTTTTGATGTCGTGTTCCACGATTCATTAGTTGCATGTAACACCCATGTGTCCTCTTAACGCCCATCGCCTGGTTACCGCATCCCCTCAACCCCTCTGGATCCCCACAGAACCTGCAGCAATGATTCCAGAAGGTTCTCCAGAACCTTCCCAAACCCTCTGTGACTCTCCAGAACCCTCCGTAACTCTCCTGAACACTCCAAATCCCTCTGGAACTCTCTGGAACTGTCCAGAACCCACCAGATCCCTCCGGAAGGCTCCAGAATGCTCTAGAACCTTCCAGAAGTCCCTTCCCAGAATCCTCCAGCACACATTCCAGAACTCTCCAGAGACCCCCCAGGACCCCCCAGAATCCTCCAGAACTCTTCGGAGCTCTTCAGGAGCCTCTGGAATGCTGGCATCTCTTCTGTGCTCCCTTTCCTTTCAATAACTCTAAAGAGTGAAGCAACATTCCTGGTTTTGCCTCTTTTCTTTGAATCCCGAGTAATTACAAACAAGGATTTATTTCAGGACCTAAAACCCTTTGTTTAACCCACCCTGACTCCACTCCCCATGGCCCTGGACCTATGGCTTTCACTGGACGTGTGTATACTCACTTTTAATGCATATGTATAAACTCATAGGTAGTTTATGTCATTAAAGATGGTTTCGAACATCAAACGCATGGGGTAATTCTGTGTTTTGGGTGACTTGCTTATTCACTCCTTACTTTTGTGATTGCTGTTTGTCCGTGTTGATGAATGTGTGTGTCATTCTGTCCTTTTCACAGCCGGACATGCCCCATCACGTTTTACTTACAGTCGGTTCAGAGCCTGGTCGGGGTGAAGACCGGAAGTCCTTACGGGGCATCAGCACTCGCAGAGGTGAGGATGGGAGAGGACCTGGGCAGGCTCTGAGTGGGACACAGGACCCAGGGGGCTGTGAGTGGGGCGCAGGGCAGGGGCGAGGCGTGCAGAGAGAGGGCTTGAAAGCAGACCATCCTGGTGGTTGCCCAATCATCTGCTGTGTAAGAGGCTGGAAATATCCCAGGAAAATACACGAACATTGTCTTCAAATCACAGAAGTCTTACTGGCCACGCCACGAGTTTGGTTTCACTCCAGCGGGAAAAAGTGTGTCCTTCGGAGAAGTGTGGTAACTCTCGGAGCTGTTCCTTGGGGGTTCCTGCCAGGCCCCACCGGAGAGGCCGGCTCGTGGGCGTGAGCAGGAAGGGCTGGTACGTGAGCTTCAAGGATGACGGGAGGGACTAGGCCGCTTGGAGACCCGGCAGAGCAGGTATAAGAGGACCTGGCAGGTGTGGGCTACAAGGCGACGGTCCCCCGGACCCACGGGGTGGGGGGGGTCCCTGAGGTAGCCCTTCTGCCCGCTCCTCGGTCCGTCCCTTCCAGGACGGCCGTGAGTTTAGAATCCGATGATCCAAGTGCAGTTTGCAGTACGGCCGGTGTGTGCAGACACCCCCCGACAACCGCCCCGAGGCCTCGAGTCGGCGCCCCAGCAGATGCTGGCTCTGGATGTCCACCACGCTGTTTGCCACGAGGCTCGTTTTTGTCCCCTGCTGCCTGGCCCTGCGCTTGGGTGAGATTTCTTTGGACTGGATTTGAATTCCGTCGGTAAACCCCAGCACTTCATCCACACTCTTTCCTCTGGGGAGGCTGGGGCTGGTGTTACTGACTTAAGAAATGAATTCTTGCCTGTCAGACTGGATGCTGTGATTTTTAAATCTTCATTTAGAGTGTGGAAAAGTGAACTCCAGATCGTGATACAGTGTAATTCGTATCAGTGGGTCCCGGCCTTCAGGCTTTGCCGCATGGAAATAAAGCACATCGGCCGTCTCTGCTGGGCTTACGGGACGAGGGAAGTAAGAAGTTCTGACAGGAATTTGAGAGCTGGTCTGGTTATGAGCATGGGGCATGCATTTGCCAACGGTCAGAAATGTGCATAGCTCGTGCGTTTATAATAATAAGACTCATTGTAACTCCATGGATTTTAATGTGCTTGAGGCAGTAGGTGGGCACCGCAAGCCGCCTGCCCACGCGTGAGCCCGTGGGAGTGTGAGGACGCCACAGGCAGGCATTCTGGGGACGGTGTGCCCGGAGCGAGCGCCTCAGTCCCTGCTCGAAGGGGCTGGTGGGTGTAGGAAGAGTGCAGGTCTGGGAGCCCGAGGTAGCGGGGAAAGTGCTCTCCCTGGGAGACCCCTGAGCCGTCTGGACACTCCCTGCGCGTCATGTTCCCCGGCATAAACTATGTCTTCTTACGTGTCCTTGGAAAGAGATACAATTAAACTCATGTCCCAGGACTGATAATTAATTGACCTAATACCCTGAAACTCTGCATGGACACATTTCACATTGTATCGACGGACAGATGCACCGGAAATGCCCACAAGATTGTGACGCGTTTGGACCCACGTCATCAGCCACCCGACAGGCGCTCACAGAGGCCAGGGCTGGAATGAATGAATAGGCCGTCCAATCCCAGGAGAATACAATGTGAGCTTCTGGAAAACAATCTTGTAAACTTCTACTGGATTCTGTTTCATTGCCTTTGTTACAGAAACGCTTAAGCGATGAGAAGTGCCAGACGTTACCGTGTAGGAGGCCATCTGCTGCCTGCTGGGACGCCCTCGGGGGACACACGGGCACTCTTGAGGCCAACCTCTATGTTCTCTGGATGCTGAGACGCTGCCCCGAAGGACTGCCGTGGTGGGTCATTACCACCCATATTTCTCACAGAGAATTTACTCACCCTTCACCTCACGGTCACGAGATAATGAAACAGGTTTTAGGAAATGACTGATAGCACGAGTTTCTTCGCTCATCGTCTACACTGTGTACTGACGCCGTTGTCCACACAGAGATGGGCTCTTCTACACAAGTTGTTATCTCACAAATTGTGGTTAGTGTCCCTGGAAAGTGTCGTATTTCCTGGAATAAAGAAAGTGCCCCATTTGCCGTTGTCACTTGGAGGAGTCGGGAAACTTGAGCCTCTATTACCTGTAGCCGTAACAGGATCATGAAATCTTAATGCAGTAGTTATATTGTTCTTATTTTGTTTCTGAAATTCATATTGACAATAAAATAGAGGCAAGAGATTTTACTCTTTTCCTTAAAGCTTAACAAGCAGAGGAGCCCCATGGATTATAACCAAAGAGAAAAAAGGAGGATTTCACCTTTTAGGAGAAGAAACATGAGCTGACTACCCGGGGTGGCATTATCACCCTTTCAGGAGCCGAGCCCCCATCCAAGCAGAGCGGCTACCGGCCGCCCCACCAGGCCCCCGTCCACACAGAGTGTCTCACCAGCTGCCCCGCCAGCCCGGGACATGCTTCCACAAAGGCCGGGCCACCTTCCTGGGGGTGGACAACAGGGCTTGGTGGGACGGGGCTTGCGGGCACACGCAGTGTTGGATGTGTTCTGGCCTGTCCACAGGTTGACCTGGAAGAGGTCTGTGTGAGTGAGCACGGCTCTGCTGTGGTCAGAGCACCCCCAGGTCTGGGGGTCCACAGTGGGCGAGATGCTGGCCGTGTGTCCAGAAGCCCGGGCGGTGGTCAGTGCAGCCTCGAGAGGACTCAGGCCAGACCCTCTGGAGCTAGCGGCTGTGGGGCCCAGGAGCATGGCCTGTGCTGGATGTGACCACTTTCTCCAGGTCAGGACTGTGGGCAGCGATCAGTGTGGTGTGGAGAGCAGCTGAGGGCCCGGCCCCAAGCCGTCCGGAGACAGGAGGGCCAGGACCCAGGGCCCTCACCCTGTTGTTCCCCTGTCCCCCGGGACAGCCCCCTGTGCCACCTGGGGTCGGCACTGGGGATGTCACTGTTCCCACTCAGAAGAGCCCAAAGTCAGGTGGGTCCAGGCGGGGTGGAGGTCCTCGCGGGGGCTGACACGGAAGCTGACACCGGGCCCCCTGACCAGGAGCGGGGCCGCCCAACTCCCCAGAAGCAGGGTGGTGGCTTGGCAGTAGGACACCATGGCCTACAGCAGCCTGTTGGGAGTGGCATCCCCAGCGGCCGGCCCACAGGTTGGCGAGACTGGTGTGTGCGACAGGCTGCTTCCAGGACCTGGACGCCAGGCCGGGGACAGCCACCTGGAGGCCTGATCCGGCCGCGCACTGTGCTTCCAGAGAGGGGCCAGCTCTGGGCCTGTGGGGCAGTGTGGGCCCCAGGATGCAGTCCTGGGAATTCTGGGCAAGTGCACCAGGCCAGGGGCTCCCCGTGAATCCGCTGAACACAGAGCAGAGAGAGAGCACCTCCACACAGAGCCCTCCAGCGCCGGAAGAGCCGGGCCCCTGCCCAGCTCTGGCTCAGCACACCTCCCCGATCAGAGGCGTCCAGAAGGGCTGGCGGCACCTGCCCCAGGACCAGGGATGCAGCGGCTTACTGGAGTGCCGCCCGGCGGAGCCCAGCGCCGCACAGATGGCCAGTCCACTGATGTGGCATTCGAGGTAACAGAACACGCCACGGCAACAGCTCACGGAGACGAACGGGCGGTCATGGGCACGGATGCAGAACACCGGGCAGAAGGAAGAGAAGCGGATCCTCCAGGCCTCCGAGGGGCCCTCGGGGAGAGCCGGCCGGTGGGAGGCCGACGAGGAGGGACGCCGGTTCCTGGACGGGGCTGCCATCGGGGCGAGCACACCAGGTGAGAGCAAGGCCAGGCTGGCCCCCAGCACTCGGCGGGAGGGCAGGACAGACCCCACCGCGCAGAAACATGTTTGTGTCCGGACTTCTTCTCCGACCGTGTTTCACGGCTCTGTCCCAGGGCAGGTGAAGGTCATTGCTCCCTAAGTGAGTCGCTTGTGTCGTAAAGGCCCAGAAACAGCTAAGAAAATGGATTCCTTGTCCCCCTGCTCAATGAGCTCCTCGGCGTGAAAGCAAACGTGTGTCTTTATCCTCCAGTGCAACGTTCTCGGGGAGGGTCTGCCACATCCCAGTCAGCCAGCACCATGAGTGAGCCAGAGACCACGAGTACACAAGGCTTCTCACCGCACTCCTGACTTGCCCGAGCTGAGCTGTCCGAAGGTGGAAACTTGTGCTCAATTCTGGCCACACCTCCGACTTTTGTGTCTCCGGTCCTGATGGTGGGGACGCACTCCTGCTCAGGCCGGACCGATCCGGAGTGTATCTGACTGAGTGAGCAACCCCCACCGAACCCCCATGACAGCTCCACAGCCACGTCCCAAGCACGCACGGGAGAACATCAGAGGCGGGACGATGGGGGACACGCCAGGCGACTTGAAATGCGATTCTTCAGCTTTACCGGATGCAGAGTGTTGCGGTGTGAATTCCCAGTGCCCATCTGCGTCCCCCAAGGTCACGGACAAGGAATCCCCCTCCTCGAAGTAAGGGCGACCCCTGAGCAGAGTTAGCGTCTTCTCAATCCACAGTGACACTGGACGAAGTCCCTATTAATAATTCATTTTTGTGAACTTCTTATTTGTATTTTTTGCCAATGTATCTACATAAGTAGGATGTCTTTTACTTTTTTAAGATTTTATTTACTTATTTGACAGAGAGCGAGGGAGCATGCACAAGTAGGCAGAGCGGCAGGCACGGGAGAAGCAGTCTCCCCACCGAGCAGAGCCTGACCTGGCGCTCCATCCGAGGACCCCGAGATCATGACCCGAGCTGAAGGCAGATGCTTAACCAACTGAGCCACGCCGGCGCCCCAGTAGTATGTCTTTTCAGAATTGATTTGTGAAAGATCACTACGGTTTCTGTATGAAAACCATTTATTCTTTATTTATGATAACACCTTAAGCCTGTGGTCTTTTTTTATGGCATGTGTAGAGAACAGGAAGGTTTTGAAGAGTAAATTTGAAAATATTCATCATCCACCTACCAGCTGTCAGTCATCTATCATCACGTTTGGAGGTTTAAAATGGGCCTTTCTCTGTATGAGCCTGTAGTGCTACGCACGCAGACACAGACGAATGTGTGTGCCTGTGACACTTTGTGTACCTACATACACAGTTTCCGTGCACGTATGTGTGTAGAAATGCATGCATATGGACTTTTACTCTCACGCATACACACAGCCTCGTATACGTACATAACTTTTCTTCTCAAAGGCCTTCAGGACACAGGACCTTGGTCTCTGTGAATGGTCTCCAGCAGGATCCCGAGAGCTGTCTCTAGGACACCGGTCCGGAGCCGTTCTGAATGGTCTGCCCTTTGTAAGCCTCGTGGTCCTGTCTTTCCTGTGACCTTCCTGTCTACAGCGCGCTGGCGGCCTGGACATCCTCCCTCGTCCCATCTGCCGGTTCTTCTCCACGTGCTCCTCCTCGCTGACAGCCACTGCCGGCATCCACAGAACCGCCCGTCCCCACGGCAGCCACACATCCTGTGTCCAGCTGAGGACATGTCACGGTGCACCGCAGAACCACTCCCGAGGCTGCACTTCTGCTCCTTTGCCCACGCTCTGTCCACGCTCCACGGTCACCTCCTACTGACCCTGTCTTCATAAGCTGACGTGTGGGCTTGTCACCAGGAGCAAGGACACCGCGCGGCTGTGCACGAACGGCAAACCCCCCGAGGAGGCGTCTGTATTTCACGTCCTGGTCTGAGGACTGAGGAGCTGGCAGCAACATTCGTAGTTCCCGGGCCATTCCACTGAATGCACCGTGGGACGTGGCTCTGGACTGTGTATGGGCGCTGGTGCCACGTCATGAAGCCACGGTCCCTGGACTCCTGCAGGCAGGGACCGTGCACGCCCAGACTGCCCATACGGATGCCTCAGAGAGCGGCGGACGGTGTGATTCTTAGGATTATAATACAACTTTCATTCCTTCATTATAATCAGAAGGTTCGTTGTCTTCATATTGAGATTTTATTATATTTTTTTATATTTATATTATATTTTATATTATATTTATTTATATATATTTATATTATAATTTATATTATATTTATTATATTTTATCTTATTTTATGATAGTAACCAATGAGAAGATAACTGCATGGACGAAATCGTCTTAGAAAACGGTTCACTACCGACTTGACGAGCAGCAGAAGACGGAGTGAGGAGGCGGGTGAAACACGGCCGCCCTTCCTGACGGGCAGAGCAGAGGAGAGCACATCTCCCTTCCCTCTCCTGGCGGCCCCTGGTGAGCTCGCTCCGGGCACCGCCGGCCGACAAGCCGAGGACCCGCTCCAGCCGGCGCCTCAGCCCTGGCACATCAGACCTGGCAGTAAGTAATAAGTAGTAAAGCCTGTTACTTCTCTGGTCCGTCCGGCTCAGGTAAAAAAACGTTACATTTGAGGGGAACCGATGACTTTGAGGCCTTCGTGATGGGCACGATGGCAGAAACTTGTCTTTCCTAAATTTCCGTCTTGTCGTCGTGATAAAACACCTTTTTGCTGCTTCAGGACATCTTGCCGGTTACTCATTATCACAAACTGTACAACGAATTGAAAACAAACAGCAAGAAAAGAAAGCAGAGTACCCCAAAGCCAAAGACCACCGTTCATAGGAACCTCTTCCCAACGCTGTCAAGTCAACAGATGTTTGATGAAATCGTCGATCACCGTGTGTTTTACGAATGTGCTCCCTTTCCTTTAAGTTCTTCATTTCTCTCTGATGCTCCGAAGAATGTTAGCTCAAGTGCAAAACGTGACCCTGCCCTCGACGTGGGTTTCTGGAACCGTGGTTGTGGGCGGTCGGCCGTCGGAACGGAAGCAGGGAGCTGCGGCAGGGTGGGGCCCGAAAGGCGGGTCGACCCGAAGCCCTGCTGAGGGGGGTGGGGTGAGTCGGGAAGAAGAGGGGTCCCTGCACCCAGCGGGACGGCCTCCCCCAGCCCCTCTCTGAACGTGGGGCTCACGCACAGCGAGGTGGTTCCCGCGTCACCGAGGGGGGGTTCGATTTTCTGCTTCAAATCTGTCGTAGCTACTTCGTTTCCCTTTGTCGGTATAATTTGGGGTTTGTGTGGCTCGCAGGGATCACCCTGCCTCCCAGAGGCGGGCGCCCGCCGTCTGCCGGGCTTCTGGTTAGGAATGAGGCTGCGCTCGTGTCAGTCAGATCCCTGGACGCGGCCAAACTGCCCTCTCGGAGGAGCCGTGGGGAAGTATTAGTAATGGAAGGTCCGTTCTCCTTTATTTTCGGTTCTGCAAACACTTTTCCCATGAATAACCACAAAAACAAAAATAAAAGACAAATTCTGCGTGCAAGAAAATTATGTTTTAAAATACAGTCTGAGTTCCTTGTAGGAGTGGTGCGGGAGAGGTCGAGGAAGCCTCGCTATCGATCGTAGACTGTCTTAGCGGCCGGCGTGAGCACTCAACACGTGACGTTCACACCCACCCAGAGACTCTTTTTGCTTTTTTCCTGATTAAGTTTCTTTTATTTTGAGATGATTGTTGAGTCACATGGAGTTTTGAAAAATAATGCAGAGAAGTTTATGTTTACCAAGTTCCCCCAGGGTAACATCCGACAGGACTGGCCTGATATCACACCAGCATATGCCCAGGGGACATTCCCACGACATCCCCAAGTTGCCCCATGGAGCCATTCCCACCTCAGTCCTTGTAGCCGAGTCCCACCACCGTCAGCGTCCTCCTTTCCGTGGTGCCGGCTCTGTGTGGTCGCCGGCATCGCACGGCCGTGCCGTCTGCAGCTGGGCTTCTGTGCAGACTCTCCTCCTT